GCACTATCCTCAACACAACTTTTCTTAATAATATGCATTGGCAAATAGAGACATTTATTAAGAAAGTTTATTAGGGTCATTTCATTCACCCTGATTTTATCTCTCGAAATTCTTCATATTAATATTACACTTTATTCAATAGATATTGTTACAATGCAGCTTTAGAGTAATAAGAAAATTACAGAATCAATTGCAAACTTCATCAAATATCTAAATTAAGATTAATGAAGCTCTTATAGTGCCTTTATTCAGCTCAGGGGCTGTTAGGAGTCCTAAAGTTAGGAGTGACACGCCCATTATTTTTAGGAGTTTCTCCTAAATTCACCAGTTAGGAGCTACTTTTAGCCTTAAAATTCTTTGTGAATATGGCCCCAGGTCAGTTCAGTACTTTAGTACTCCAGTGCAGTGCTTGTGTAAAGTACCTCACCTATTGACAAAGCTACAACTCCATATATTTGTACTTTAATAGTTTCTTCTGAATTTAGGCCACTGCTGGTGAGGTCGTAAAGAAAGGAGGGGAAAGGAAAGGCTCCCGGAAGAAGGAACAGAAGGAGTGTGTTTCAGAGACAGGTGAAGCTCCGCCCCCTTTATCTACAGGTTTTACAAAATTGCATTTTCTAAATATACATTATAAAGACACAAGTATATCAAGTTAGGTGATTACCTTGACATATTTGGTTCTTTATAATGTATATTTACACATAAGCACAATGGACAATCACTTTAAAAAAAATATTGCATTGCCTTGGTATTGCATGGCATGATTCATATATTTATTTATAAATGGAATTATTATTCTGAAGTATATTTTGGTTTTTGCCTATCAGAAACATCCCAGAAGCCTGTACAGAGACAGAAGAGCACCACTGAAGAAAAACCTGGGGTGAGTTTATAACAGCTGATTCAGGACTATTCATTATGGCTTTGACAAGTGAAGTGCTCCAATTTGCACACTTAATTGCACACCAATTTCCATTACTCTGTTCTGTTTTGTAGAATAAATTGTGGGGGGGAATCAGGCTCTGATGCTGAATGACAAAATAACCTTGTAAAATATATACACTACAAAGTTGAGTATATAATAGAAGTATATAGTGTGTAGTGTGTCATTTGGTACTCAACTTATCTCTTTTAGATCAGTGTTTCCCAACCCTGTTCCTGGCGGCACACCAACACTGCGCGTATTCTTTGTCTCCCTAATCAGACACACCTGATTCAACTCATCAGCTCATTAACCCATCTGATTATGAGCTGATGAGTTGAATCAGGTGTGTTTGATAAGGGAGACAAAGAATACGTGCAGTGTTGGTGTGCCGCCAGGAACAGGGTTGGGAAACAGTTTTAGGCTACGTTCACGCTGCAGGGCTTAATGCTCAATTCCGATTTTTTTTGAAAAAATTCAATTTTTTTTGCAGGTCGTTCACATTTCCAATTAAATGCGACCTTTTGTGATCTCCTTTGTGAACGTGAAATGACCTAGAAGTGACCCGGATGCGCAGAAGAGTAATCAACGGTCAACGACGTCACTTGTTGTTTGCGGAATAGTTAATTTTTCCATATGTTTCGAGCTTTTGTTTTATTATTATTATTGCCACAGCCCATATACAAGCACAGACAACGATTATTTTATAGACGGGCAAAGTTTGCACATAAATGTAAGATTTTTCCGATCCTCACCGACCTCGTCATAAAACCCGTTTAATTGATAGTGCGCGTCCTCGGCGCTCCTTGCTTTGTCGCCGGCGGCCGCGATGCGACACTGGGGGCTGGTGTTGCCAGATTGGGTGTTTTTTTCGCTACATTTTAAGGCATGTTTACATGTGTTTTAGCCGGGTTTTCACCTGGAAGGCTCTATAGAAATCTGGCACCCTACTGTACGAAGTTAAACTGACAGAGAGCGCACGTTCACAGACACCAGAATGAACGTGTTCACAGTAATGTTCATCAGGCAGTAATACAGTATATGAACGCGTTTATGCACTATCGTTCATTGAACGCGTTCAGGCACAACACTGCGGAAGAGACTCGTCTGCAGCGGCCCATAACAGTGAGGAAACGCGTTGGAGTTGGAGTGAATTGGCTGGCTACAGGTGCGTGCAATGACGTGCGGGTCGGATATATGTGACCTGGCCGTTCAGATTGAAGTCGCATTTCAAAAGATCGGATACATATCGGATTTGGACCACATACCCAAGTGGCCTGGGTCGCATTTGAAAAAATCGGATCTGTGTCGTTCAGACTGTCATGAAAAAATCAGATACAGGTCGCATAGGGGCAAAAAAATCTGATTTAGGTCGTTTCAGCCTGCAGTGTGAACGTACTGTAGCCTTAGATAATTAAGTATACTAGAAAGTGTTGTAATCTCCATATCCAGGTGTATGGCAACAAAACAAGCAATATATCCTGTCCCTTCAATGTTAATCGAAATTCTTTGTCTTTACAAGTTGCTGGTTTATATTATGTTCTAGATAAGGGTTTCTGAGGAACCAGTGCAGAGATCTTCTCCAACAATAAAAGAGAAATTGCAAGAGTAACCCATGCCTGTCTCTCCAACTCCACATCCCGCTGTTATCTTCTCCGGCCCCAAAAACAGTCCCATCTTCATCTGCTACACCCCTGGTCTTGATAAATCCTCTCTTGAGGCAAAGATCCCTATTCAGCCAAAGAATAGCCATCCTCGAAGCCCTTACAACAGTCAGTTGGTGTCCACTTTACAGCCCATATCAGTGGCAGCAGTCTCAGTTCCCATTCAATCTGCCCCTGCATTGAAACCGACCCAACCCTCATTGCAAACGACCCCAGTGCTCCCCACATCTGAGAAGATTACCCACTCCAATCAAGCACCATCTCAGACCAACTTGGTTGCATCTCCGATCACCCCTGTCCAAGTACCTCCTGCTATCCCAACTCGAGTTGCTCTTGCATCTTCTGGCTCAATCCCAGATGCCCCGGTTGAATCCACCCCGCCCATTCAAACCACTTTTATTTCCAATCAACCCCTCTTACCTGCCTCTGCAATACCTGTTGCTCCGGCAGCTGCCCGTATACCAGATGCCCCAGAACCGCCTTCTACCACCCTTCCCATTGATGAAAGAAGTGGTCCACCAATTGCCCAAAAGACAGTAGATTCTCATACCGCTATGACACCAATCCTCTTTCCCAAAGCTCATGCCCCCTCCATCTCCCCTTCCTCTGGTCCTGCCCATGCTCCACCTCCAGACTTACCTCAGTCACCATGCAATGCGTCAGATCCACAACCCTGTGAAACATCGGCCATACCTTCCTCTGGTAAGTTTTGTCTGATTAAGACTTAAGGTTCTTGCACACTGAGTCCGAATTTTCCATAGATTGTAGAAGTATGGACTTGACGCCGCCTGTAGGTTTCTGAAGAGTATTTTTGAGGCACAAAGTGGGCGGAGCCGGCTGTCGCCATCTTGGTGGTGTGATAAACCGAAAATGCAGTAGCACCTCAATGCAGTGCATGAGATCTACGGGGAGGAGTCGGATCAAGATCCAAGGGGTGGAGATTAGGGATTAGGGGTGGGTTTATGGATCAGGGGGCGGAGTTGGGTAGGTTTAGGTGTATGTAAGGTGGGATCCGACTCCTCCCCGTGGAGTTCATGTTCCGCAGTGAGAACCATCTCCGAAAATGGGCAAAGAGGCGGGATTAGCTGAGGTGACGTGACTCTACCAGACGGGACAGCAGCGGCAATCCACCTGTCACTCAAGTGGCCACGCCCTTAATTATGCAGAACTAAGGCGTAATGTAATTTAAACGGATGTGTTCTAAAAGTATTCACGCCCCTCAGAGTTGTCACAAAGGGCAAAACTAGCTATATACCAAAACCACTTTTTGCACTAGGCTGTAAACATATTTTTCTGCTGTAAATTTGGGAGATTTAACATGGGGTCTGGGATTGACTCTCTTCTGCAGCCTGTCTCTAGTGGCCAGTTGATGAATTGCAGTTTAAGTCACTTCCGTGTTGGGTTCAAGAGAGAGACCGTAAGGTTGCCGCTTGTTTTTTTTGTATTCGGCATCCTAAAAATTCGTCACGAACAGAAACCTTGCACACGTTTCTCTACGGATTAATACGTATCGAACTCAATCACAAAATAATACAAACTTGAGTCTTTAAGCACTGAGGCTGATTTTGTTGTCCTCTCTCTTCTTAAAAAGAGGAAAAGAAAGGAAATATTGAGTCCATCCATCTAATCCTGAGAATACGTAGAGAGGAATGAGAGTCCCTCCTCATCAAGGAGCTGCGGGATTATCCCGAGCGATTCAAAGTTAACTTTGAAATTCAGTGGCTCATTTTGATGCTTTGCTAGCGATACTGGAGCCACATATTAAAAAGAAGACCCCCAATTTCCGTGAAACAATTAATCTTGAAGAGTTCTGAAAATGACCGTTCACTTGTCCGGTGGCTCTGAATTGTCAAAACAATTTTCAAAATGCCTGCTACGTATGCGAAAAACGCAGAAAATTTGACCCGATCCAATTTTGTTTATGACGGACGAATGTTTCGGAGGCAGTGTGTAAACGTGATTGACATTTAGACATGACATTACTTGCAATGCATCAAGCAAATCTGGTTACAAATGTTGACTTCCTAGTATAACCAACCGAGTCCTCACTTGTCCGCCAGGTGTAGCCCCTGCTCCTGACCACCCATCCCAACCCCAACAAATGCCCTATCCTCATCTCCAATGGTCTCAGCTCCTCCAGGACCCTGTTTACCCAGGATTCCCCCTCAACGAGAAGGGAGAGGTGGAACCACTGCCTCCCTTTTCCCTCTCCCAAAAAGGAGAAGACCTTCCACAAGGTAGTGAAAACCCCAAAGATCTGAGCCATTGAATTGACTACAATATCCTCTCAGTAGACCGTTATCCAGGGCTAAATGCCAATTTTTTAATCTTAGTAATGTTTTTTTTAATATATATATTTCAGATATCAATATCCTCAAGTTCTTCTTCAACCTCGGTGTGAAGGTACACTTCTTCTTTCCATTTGTTGCGTCTTTAATGACTTCATTAATGGCCATCACTATTTCTTTATGTACTATTCGTAAGTTTATTCACATGCTCCCAATTTCCTCAGGCATACTCTCAGCCAATGTTTCCTCCCATCATTTATCTGGGTCCACTTAACCAAGCCTATCAGATGCATCTCAGAGCTCCTCCTCCTCCTGACTCTCCCGCCAATCCCACAATGACTTCATGGCAACCAGAAAACCCTTCTCCTCCTCGGAATTCGAGCTCAATCCCTGAGACCTCATTGGCGAGTCATGCTCCCGTTGCACCGGTACCAGTTGGTAGCGGTCCTGTTGGTCCTATAGAGATGGGAGGGTACAATGATCATCCTCAATCCCTCCCGATGCAAGTCCCGCCAAGAGTACCAATGCCCTGGTCAACAACTTCTGGCCAAAGTGCCTATTCTGGGAATTACCCAGCTTCCCCTCAAATGCAGTTTTCAGCGCAACCCTGTGGACCTCATGGGAATCAGATGTATTCGCCTTCATCCGTTGGGTACCATCATATCCAGCCTCAATCGATGCCTCACGAAGCCTTAAACCATGTTCCTCATGGTCGGATGGATGTCTTGCCATTTGTTCCTTCCACATTGGATAGAGGTCAAGAAAATGGCCAGCGACCTATGAATATGAGCCCCCACTATGGGTCCATGCATAAGATCCCTGGCTTTCCAGGAACCCAACCTCAGTTGGGTAGTGGTGATTACAAACCGGTCGATATTCCCGTTTCAATGGCCACAATGCAACCTCAACACTATCCTGGAGCTTGTCCTGTCGTACAACCTTTCCAGCTTGGCCAAATGCAAGGGGATATGACCTCTCTAGGTAATGGGAACTTAGGAAGAGTCTACGCATATTCTCCTGATGACAATTGGTCAGTTGAGGAGATGGAGATTCTCAATGTGGATCTCAGAAATCCCCAGTCCTACTATAGCCAGGCCTATAGAAGTGGAGGAAGACGTGGCCAAGAAGATAGAGGCGGATATAGAGGTCGGAGTCACCGTGGACGGAAGGATTACTCTAGTCGGGGTAGGCCGGATGACCAATCGTCCTATAGACATTATGGGAGACGGGGTGCCGGGCCAAGGGTTGGGCAGATGCCATATCAGTGATGCTTAAATGCTGGATATACACTTGTTTTTGGTTTACTGTGATGTCAGATACACACAATCGGTTTGAATTTTTGGGTGGCTTTTGGTATATTATTGATTAGTTATATATCCAATGTTTTTAACCGTTTTCTGTCTTTCCCCCCCAAAGACATTCTTGTTTAAAATTAAAGCAATTGTTTGGATTTCCCAAAAGCCTAGTGGAAATGTTTGTTTGCATAGATGTTGTAATAAAATCTTATAAATAATCACATTTTTTTGTTTTCTTGAGCAGAATGCACTTCCCCGACATGCACACTAACAGGGAAAAAATATAGATCATACCATTATATTGGTTTGAATGTATAAATGTTTCAGATCTATGTGAATTTGGTTAATATAGTTTTCTTTTCCAATCTTTTTTTTTATTTAAAGTTGTGTCAAGAAAGTTCTACATCTTTTAGTGTGTTTTTAAGACTGTTTTTAAGATTTTTTCCTGAAAAGCTTGCAAGATTCATCTTATGCTGCAGAGCGTATATCTCACCAGACATAGAAAAGTGCCTTTTTGTCATGTTTTACTTGTGTATTTCAACATAATTGGTTTTCTTTGACCACGTGTTTATCGTGCACTCTCAACCTCTTCCAGATGAACGCTGATGCCTCTAAATAAATTGCATTTCTGATCCAAAGTATGTTTTAACACTGAATAAACAAATGCCTAATACCTTTCGCGCTTGTCATCTTTCCATTTATCGGTTGCAAATCCCTCCAAGGAATTTATTTTTTTAATATATTTGACCACATTTAATTATATTACTGTCTTATTTTCATGTCAGGTTTAGTGTGTTCTCCAAGTAAGGTTTATTAAAGGAACTTCCAATTGCATTACCATGTCTGCTGCTGAACATGATTGATAGATTTGCTAAGAAAAAACACCTCACAAAACAAAAATTTTTCTTTTTTTCCAACTGCAGCGAATGCATCATGCTGTCAGACAGGAGACTGACACATTTGCTCACATGTTCGTAGTTTAGAGGGACAAGTCCTACCAGCGTACTGAGATGTCAAAGTGCCTACTTGCTACGTAAAATAGGTAAATATTGGCGGGTTTGTATCACGTGGGGCGCTGTGCTGGCTGCATGCAGAAATGAAAGCAGACAAGCGCTTCAGCCCAATATTACTCGTTGAAGGCAGCTGAAAACAGACATTCATGCGTAAAATGTTTAACCCGTTTTTTTTTTTAAATGTTTAACCCGAATTTTTTTTTTCCAGGACAATGCAAACGTTTCCAGGACATTTGACTTTTTTTCCCCATTTTCCATGTGTTTTACAGGACTGGAAAATTGGTCTTTAAATTTCCAGGTTTTCTAGGACATGTGGGAACCCTGAGAGCATCAAGAAATACAGGCTGCCTTCATTATTTCAAACA